CGTGTTGTAGGCAGCAGGTGGACGCAGCCTCCGGCCACCATAACCACATTCTTGGTGTCTGTCTCATGGATGAGGTGATTTATTATTACTTGTCCCGTGCATATCCCACATGGTTGGTGACATGGTTCTTTGTTCTTCATGGGGCTGGTGTCGCCTTTGAGATGGCCATGAAAAAGGTGTTGGGTGGCTATTTGCGGTTGCACAGGTTAATTTCTGGGCCGATGACGATGGCGCTTGTGGGATTTACCGTCGTGCGGTTGTTTTTACCGCATGTTATTAGGCATGGTTTAGACAAAAAATCCATAAATGAGGATTCGGTTTTGGCACAATTTGTCAAGGACTGTTTGCCACTAATTCATCTACCTTCGTCTTTCTAGCGTAATTAATTTTCTTAGAGTTATCTATTTAATTACATTCTATGTGATAAAGATATCGATGACTCTCTCTTAATCTTTCTAGTGAACAATGATTTACTTTCGATATGATCTATTTGTACTAAAATAAAATTCTCATTCTCTTATTTATCGAGCTCATTATCAAATTTCTTCTAGAGATGGAGTGAGAAAACCTCATTTTGGTAAATTGCAAATTAATAATAACTACAAGACAATAAGTTCATATCATTAGCCAATCCAAATTTTTGTAACTTTATAGATTTCAACATTTAACAGCACCTAGGTCGTTAACATAAATACAAGAATCTATATCGACTCGACAACATTGACACGTGGACAATGAAAGCATCAATAAGAGTGTAATGTTGTATTTAATAATTATCATATCAAGAAACAAGAATCACATCTTGATACTTTTGACCAGACTCGTTATACTTCCCATAATATTCTCCACCATTGTTAGATCTCACAACTTTGATGCTTTTCTGACATTTTTACTCTACTTCCCATAATATTCTCCACCATTGTTATCATTAATTAAGTAAATATATCCATAGCGCGAGAAACCATCAATGAAAGTTATAAAATATTTGTTCCCACATATGGTGGAAGGTAAATATCCACTAATAACAGTACGTATCAAGTTTAAAATATCATCTCTCCTAGTTGAACCTTTCCTTGTGGACTTAGTTAGCTTTCCTCTTATACAATCCACACAATTGTCAAAATCAGAGAAATTTAGAGCGAAGTATCTCAATTTTTACCAATCTCTCCATCATTTCCCTTGAATGTGACCTAACCGCTTATGCTACAACATGGAGGATGATTCACGAATTAGAGACATTTTCTTTGCCACGTTAGTAACAAAGAGAGCTTATCACATAAAGTCCATTCCTAATAAAATGAGAATCATGAAACAATTCAACCATTCCAATACCAAAATTAAAGGAAAAATCAGAAGCATCAAATTTCGAAATAGAAATTAAATTCCGTCTCAATGTCGGTACAAAAACTATATTCTCCAAAATAAGAGAGAAACCAGACTCCGAAGAAAATTTCACTACTTTTATGAACTCAACCTTCACTTGAACTCCATTACCAACGCACAAGCTCACTTCATTCTCACTTGGCCTCCGTTTGCTTATGAACCCCTACAAAGAATAGCTCTCGAGTCTATCCACCAAGAATTCGAAGGCACATCTATAAAAGAAGACTAAAAACAAACCAAGGCCAAAAAGATACATGCGGAATTCTTCTTCTTCTCTAACCAAATCTTAAACTTTAAACAATCTTTCTGCCAATAAACCTTCTTTTTGTAGAACTTACATTGATCATTTTTCTTCATAGTTTATTTGGGACCACAGAAAGTCTGATCTTCAAAACTTTTATTGTGCTGATTGTGTTGTGACTTATTGCCCTTATGGAACTTAAACTTACGGTTATGAGAAGACCTTTATTTTAATGGTGGTTGAACAACTAATTACACAGTTTCAACAATCTCACGTTGCATCCTATACTCCCCTTGGACACATACATCAATAAGGTCATTCAAATTCAATTTTTCCTGCTGAGCATTATAAGCAACATTTAACTGATTAAACTGGTTAGGAAGGCTATTTAGAACATGATAGACTAGAAAAGGCTTTGCGATGAGGATCTTAAGAGCCTTTAGCTTAGAGGATATATGTATCATCTTCATAATATGCTCCATAACTCCACTTGTACCATCATATCTCATACTCATCAGTTTGTCCATCTGATTTCGAATTTTAGCTTTATCAAACTCAACAAATCTCTCTTCTATGGCATCGACAAAACTTTTGGCATTTTCATTATCTAGAATAGCTCCCATAATGGAATCAAATATATATCGCTTAATAATTTTCAAACAAAGTCTGTTAGCCATTTTCCACTTTTCATATTCAGCCACATTTTCATGAATACTCTTATCTGTGGGTTGTGAAAGCTGCTGCTCCATTGAAAAATTCAAGCCCAAAAGGCTAAGTGCTATTTCTACATCTTTTTTCCATCTTACATAATTATTCTCAGTCAATGTTTCAACAGCAGACAATTAACTCGAAAGAGATGAGTCATTTAAAACTGTGAAAACAAAAAATGACATATTTAATATCGTCCAAACATAATGCATGTGGTCAGTGAATGATAACATATTCATCTAATTAACATGGTCTATTAATTAGATAGACCGTAATTAAATTCAAAATCATATGAACTTTATTACGATAAGAGCCTAGGTGCATCATTATAAAGTCACATTTGTGTTGACAATACAACATGCCGTAAGATACTCTTAAAATATATCATGAAACTAATTAATAAATTCACATCGATTTTTGAAATACCAACACCTTTATGTAGAAGGAGATTTTGAGACCAAAGTAAGTTCGTTAACTACCTCATGCCATTTTCCAAATTATCACATATAATAACATATCCGGGAAAGATATTGTATGTAATAAGTCAAAAATAATAAATAACAATGAGTGTGCTACTTTGGTAGCTACCGCTCACTTTTATTTCAAAATGTTTCTATTGATGGGAAAACAATAATAGTTTTAAAGCCCATGGAAAAGCTCAATCACAAAATAATAATTATGCAACAAAATCATAATCATTAACTTGATACAATCGCCCATGAAAAGGAAAAAAATGCCCATTTATCAAAACTTAGGAGAGAAAATAACATTAATCAAATATTTATATTTGCAGCAAAACCGTCCTACATTGCCTGCAACAAAATACACGCATCCTACCCGGCGGCACCCAATCCGCAAAAAGATGATAAAAAGAACCAGAGATTGATGAGTTGTTTTTTGGATGGAATAGAATTATGTAGGCATCACACATATACATATATTATTATTATTATTATTATTATTTTGACTTCTTCATACATACATGGAACCGTCTTTGACTTAGATCTATTGTCATAATTTAGTGCTAATATGAAAACGTTAATCTGTTAACTATAAAAATAAACACTCTAGATAAGCCCTCTCTACAGTGAATCAGTTACCATGACCCTGTACTTGTATCTTTATCCACCAAATAATATATAATTTGTCTCCAGAATCATAATTTTGTCAGAGAAAATATTCTTGAACGAATACCGATTTAACAAATACCGAATTTACAGCACATACCAGATATGAAACTTACCGAATATGCAACTAACATACCGAATATGCAACTAACATAAAAACCTTATTTGCACACATCGGATTTGCACGTATAGTATATGCGACCAATACCATATATGCAGTTTATCACGTAGACAATAATTTATTGAATAATAGCTAAGATATAGCAGATTAAATAATTTCTAATCACAACAAACAAAATATGTTATATAAATCACGATGAAATAGAACAAATAATCTAAATAGTAAAGAATAAAAATTCAATTGAACTCTAAAAAATCGTGGCATGTGTGAATACATTTTCTTTAAAACAGATTCGCCTCCTCACTGTAAGTGTTTGAGATTTAATTTGAGTGTCTGTTGTCCAAGATACAACAATAAAGCAGTAGAGTCCGAGCACTGTCGATTCTACTCAAGTGAACTGACTTATTATCTGAATAATATTACCACCAAGACCTTGATGATATTAAATTATGTATGCAGACATAGATTTTTCGTGTGTTTTGGAACTCTAATGCAGATAGTGTATTCTTCATATCTGGAACAGTGAAAAAACGAGACTTCATATAGAATTAACCCCAGTAATAATGAGTTAACACTACAACAAAAATGTGATTTAACGACAAAAAAATTTGCGACATACAAAAAGTTGTCGCAATAAGTGATTTAATGCGACACGTTTTTAAAGTTTGTCGCAAAGATTGTAATGAAAAAAAGTACTAAAAAAATATATGGCAACATCAAAAGTTGTCGTAATACATTAAAAGGGGTGACAAATAACAAATAATGTCGTAAAAAAATGAAGGAAGTAAGACACCAAAATATTTTTTGGTCAAAAACTTACAGTGACAAACTTTTATTTTTTGCAACAAAGTATTTGTGATGCAATAAGATCTACTTTTTATGACAATGAATATTTGTTGCTAGAAATTCTATAAGTGGAGGAAAAATCACTCCAAGAAAATTTGCTTTTTGCCACACACAAAAATCATTACTGTGGTCTTTCATTATGTTCACCAATATGTTGCGGGCTCTGATGTTATCATAGAGTCGAATGATAAGATAATGTGCAATGCATGTTGCAAAAACCCTCAAATGGACATTGCTGTTTAGTTTTTGCAACGCTCTTGACGATTTACTTTTATTATAGTTTGCAATATTCTTTACTTATTATCTTAACTTCTTTTTGCAACGGTCACTATTATCTTTAGACCTTTTGCAAACATTTTTTGGAAATATGAGAACCAAAAAATCATTAGACAATATAAAAAGTTGTCATAATATGCAAAAGACGTGACAAATAATAAAGATTGTGCCAAATATATAATGGAAGCAAGGTGCCAAAATAATTTTTGGTAGAAAACTTATCACGACAAATTTTTATTTCTTACAACAAAGTGTTTCGCATGTACTACGTCTATTTTTTGCGACAAACTTTAATTTTTTGCAGCAACCATGTATATTTTATCAAAGCTCCGTAATAAATTTATAAAACACAATTAGTTTAATTTTTAAATCAATCTAACTCATGTTCAACAAAAAAAAAATATCATTATTTTATTTAGTTCATTTTTTTTATTACATTAACCTGTCCAAATTGTTTATACTTTATAGCCTGTCCATAGTTCCAGCCCAATTCTCCAAACCCAAATCTAGACGTTCCACCTAGAGGTGTCAATCCGGGTGGTCCGGGTCGGGTCGGCCCGCTAATATATGAGCCCGGTAACGGTCCGTGTGAAAAAAAACCCACCCGCTACGGGTTCTTGGTCGGCCCACAAATTTTGGACT